CTTTGTAAAAATGCATTTTTATCTTCTCCATATACTCGTGTGTTATTTTTTTTAACTTTTTTATTAAATATACATTTTATTCAGAATTCTGTGTAGATACTAAATCTATTACATTCTAAAAAGAAAACTTTTTTGTATTTTTTATATAACTGCAAAATAGTTTCTCTTTATTTTAATTATTAAAAAACTTCATTTAGCTGCAAAGCATTTTGATTGATTAAAAATGCAATATTTCATATTAGGTAATGAAATGTTTGGAAAACATTTATGCAAAATTTATTTTTGTTGTAATATTTTTTATTGATATAAATATGAATTTAATATAAGTTATTAATGCCCTGAAATTAAACGAAAATGATCCGTCATCCAGGGAAAAAAATATGTAACAACAGCATATTTTTCTCTATGCACAAGATGACTAATTAGGTAATCATTTAAGTTTTGGCAAACAATAATGCTTGGCATAGCTAGATAGTGTTACTTCTATTGTGTGCAAAATAAAAAAAAACCACATAAAGCCTTTATTACTTTTTTTCTGATGATTCTATTTTCACTTACGAAGAAGCAAGCTTAATAGTTTGACTGCATAAATTTGAACATTCTAAATAAATTAAGCAGACGTTAAAACACTAACATAAAAACATATGTATTGAGAATACGAATTAGTTCGGTCCGTTTTCAAAAGATGGCTCTGGCTGTTATGAATGTTCCATAGTGACAGCTGGTTTCGGTGGTTTCAGAGAGGTTAGACATCTGTCAATAATATTCAGTTTATATCGCTTTGAGTTTCATACAAAAACCCTGTTTTTCACTTTGTTGAATATGTCAAATTTTGTGGTAAATAAGCAGTATTTGATTGATTGACAACATTTTATGTTTCTGCTTTAATTGGAACAAAAGTGCAGCTGAAGAGCATCAAATGCTTGTAGAANGAGTTTCATACAAAAACCCTGTTTTTTATTTTGTTGAATATGTCAAATTCTGTGGTAAATAAGCAGTATTTGATTGATTGACAACATTTTATGTTTCTGCTTTAATTGGAACAAAAGTGCAGCTGAAGAGCATCAAATGCTTGTAGAAATTTGTGGTGACAATGTTTCAATTGATAAATCATGTAGGAAATAGTTTCGACGTTTCAAGAATGGTGAATGGTATTGTATACTATGAGCTGCTACAACCTAGCAATTCCATTACGGGCGATCGGTATAGGCTACAATTGATTCGTTTGAACTGTGCATTACGATAAAAACTGTCGGAATACGAGCAATGTCATGACAAAGTTATTCTTCTGCATGATAACGGTCGGCCTCATGTCGCAAAAGTCGTAAAAAATTATTTGGAAACGTTCAAGTGGGATATTTTATCGTACCTTCCGTATTAACTGGACATTGCTCCTCCTGATAACAGGTTGTTCCGACGGATGCAGCACGATTCGGCAGATCACCGGTTAACTTCTTTCGCAGAAATCTCAAATTGGCTCCTAACTTAGATCGCTTCTAAAGACGAGTTATTTTTTCGAGATGGAATTCGAAAATTGCCATAGAGGTGGAAAAAGTAGTAACCAGCGATGGATAATAGTTTGATTAATCTGTTCATTCATTTTGTTCTGAAATAAACGCATTTTTGACTACCGAAAAACGGACCGAACTAATTTGTACTCCCAATAATTTATAGAAATTAATTTGAATATTTATTTCTATATTCTCGAACGACTACTGCGTGAAGCTCTGGTTATTAGTTTAGGTATTCCGCACTTTATTTAGTACACTAAATAAGTTTATACCTTAAAAGGAACTGGAACATGTTATGGAACAAAAAATGTGATATAAAATAATTTTTCAGTATTAACTACCGTAAAATAGCTGAATCACTCTAATTACATATATATTACTGTAAACATTACTCTACAATATTTTTAAAAGAAAAATGCATTTTATCGGTAATTGATTATCACATTAGTTTTGACAAACAGTAGCGCGTGGAATAGCTAAGAAGTGTTACTTCCACGGTTTGCAAAATAAAATTAAAAAACATAAAACCCCCATAACTTCTTTTTTCTGGTGAACCTACTTTCACGTACTGAGAAGCAATTTTAATAGTTTGATTGAATAAATTTGAACATTCTAAATAAGTACGCAGACGTTACAAGCACGAACACAAAAGCATACTTAGTTTATATAAATTAATTAAAATATGAGTCGGGCATGTAGTAAGAATGAGCCCAGATCGAACAGCATTAAGAGTCTTTTATGCAACCCCCTCCAATAAAAGGCCAAGAGGAAGGCCCAAAAAGAGATGGAAAGACTGTGTGGATGAGGATTTTGCCACCCTAAAAGTAAAGAACTGGAAATCAATTGCTGGGAGAAGGGCAGAATGGGAAAAGCTTCTGAGGAAGGCCCAGGCTCACAGAGGACTGTCGTTCCACTGCTGATGATGAAATTGATTAAAATATGTAAGGATATGCTCTTGAACGACTACTACGTTAAAATCCAAATATTAGCTCAAAAGCTTAGGTATTCATCCCTTCATTTAGTACACTGTGTATGTTTACACTATAAAAAGCAACTGGAACATGTTACGGAACAGAAAGTCTGGTATACCATAATTTCTGCAGCAATAACTACCATAAAATCACTCTAAATAAATAAGTATTATTGTAGAAATTGAGGCATAATATTTCGCGGTAAAAATTTATTTTACGATATTAATTTATTTTTTAAAATTTATTTATTTAAAAATTTATGTTGCAGCCAAAGTGCTGGTATTTTATCCTGCAATTTAATCCGAATTTTTTACAGTTTAAGAAGTCCAATCAAGTATAGAAAACCTATTGGTAACCACAATATGTTGAAGATTGAAAAAAAAAGCATTCTAAAACATATTGAGTCCAAAACAGTAAATAAAACTAACGCCAAAAAATATGCAAAATTCAATAAAGCTAAATATATTCAAGTGTTAAAACTTAATTTTTTTTAATTAAAGAGAAGAATTCCTAGAACAGTAAAAAAAACTTTTTTTTAAATATTTACTAAAACATTAATCAGTTGCTTGCTTGACGCTATTGACTGTCGATGCTCATTAATGTAAAATCGCTCAACCACTCTAATGAAACAAATATTATTGTAAAAATTATGGTACAATATTTTATGCTAAAATGGATTTTACGGATGATGCACACTCAAAGTTCCGGTTTTTCATACCTTAATTTGACCTGAAATTTTTTACCGTACAGTTAGGAAATAAAGTTGATTTTTACCTAGTTTTTATGGTATTTAAGCATAAAATATCCAAACATTAAAGAAATGCTAAGCGGGAATTCTCTATCATCACATCTAATAGATTGCTTACAAATGTTACTGTGACCTTTGTTTTCGAAGAACTTCAAAAACGAAAGACAAAGGTTAGTGATCAAAAATTATTAAAGAATATCAGTACTAAAAACCAAAGTATGCGGAAATTGTTTTTACAGTTTTTTTTTTACTTGCTTAAAAATCTTCACTAATCTCTAATAATTGGTAAACAACATCTGAACCATTTAAACTAGGATAGGAATTCAGAATTTTTTCCTGACTTTCCTCTCTCTTATAAATCAGCGGGATAAATAGATGAGGTTTATTGCAATTATTTTCACTGACAAAGATTCTGAAAGCATCAGCGTGATGGTTAGAATAAAAACAATATCATCAATATAATCAGCATATTGAGGAATATGTATAAAATGATTAATGAAATTCTAAAAACGTTGTCGTTGTTGAAATGTTATTGTTGTTGAAGTGTTGTTGTTTTTCAAGGCATTTACATAAGCGTAAAATTTGAAAGGAGTAGAAAACAATTTCCAAAATGCATTCCACCACTTATAAAATTGTTTACCGAAAAGTTGTGTTTTCTTCTACTTAAAAATTATTCTTTAATGCTATCATACGTAAGATTATTCTTTTAATTTATCCTTTTGTTTTATCCTTTTGATAAGCATATTATTATAAAAGTATTTTTATTTTGTATACTATAGTTATACGAAATAAAAATCGAAACATAGAAATTTAGATTACTCAAAAACTTCTTAAAGTAGCGAAAAATGAAACACTCGAAATATTTAAAAGTGTCTGCAAATTTTAAAACAAGAAAAAAAAGATAGATGAAATGTTGATTTCTATCTAGATCGAAAATTTTTCTCCTTAGCTCGGAGTCATAAAATTCTGAAAAAAAAAGTCGATTTATTCCAATTAATTAGAATAATTCCATGTCAACGACTAAAAAAATCGGAAAGGAAATTTATATTTTTAGACAGAGAATTTTCTCTACGTCTTCTCTATTCTTCAGGTCAAAAAGTAGTTGAATTTCCTAGTAGTTTCCTCGATCTGAACCCAAGATCGGAACAGAAGTCGAAAACCTAATTCAAATCAGATTTCTGAGAGATGAATATTATGATTTATTATATTCCATAACTTTTTTAGTTTCATTTTAAAATATATATACATAAATTTAAAATTGAAAAGAATTTCTGAACAATTCCTGAAATGCAATACGCCATTTTTAAAATCGTTTGCTTTATGACTGTACTCTTTTCTCATTTCTATATACTGTTCTTTAATCGAAGTAAACATAGAATAGTAATGTTTAAATAAAAAATTATTATGCAACAATAGTTTGTAGTGTTCACAACATGAAGGCTTAGTAATGTAGAAATTTAGTTTTATCTTTCAGTACAAGGCAATTTCCTTAAGAAGTTAAAATTTCTGCACTCAAAAATATCTGCTTATTCTGAGACAAGAATAAAAAAATGCGAATTATGATCCCCATATTTATATCTATTCATACCAAATTTATAACTAAGAATTTTCGTTTCCATCTCAAAGAAACAGGATTATGAAAAGATGGACGATTTATTCTAATAAAAATGATTTCACGTGAAAAAGCCTTACGACAAGGGAAAAATGAAAAGGAAATACATATTCATAGTAAGTTATTTTTTCCCTATATTTCTCTCTCTCTTCTTTCAGGGTGAAAAGTGGGTGAGTTTCAGTGTAAATGTCATCGACAAGGATTCAAAAGCCGTGAATGATTTGGTGGTCAGAATCGAAAATGACAGCCTCAACCTGTTCAGGGTGAAGAATATTAAGATTTATGAGATTCTGAACACAGGCCATAGTACGTTTTTCTACGCAGGTGAGGAAAAAAAATGCATTTTTGCGATCATATAGATTTTAATGAAAAAGTAAAGTTCCTGGAACTATGAAATATTCATTATGGTGTGAATTTAATTTTGAAATTTATACTTCTTGGAAAGTAAAATAGCGTCTGTGACTGATACTTTTATTGATTTACGAGGGTATAAACTAATTTGCACTTTGTATAAAAAATTATGATAAGACTGCTGAGAAAGAAAATCAGATCTTTTTATTTAACTATTTTGTAATTAAGTTAATTACCCTGAACGCGATGCTAAAAATTATTAACAGAATATAAATTTAAATTAATTGTATATCAGTAAACGTCAAAACAAATGATGTTTCTATAAATATTCTAAGTTACATTTGGAAATTTACTTTGTTAAATTAATTATATTTATCACTAGCCAAAACATTAGCATGATTGATTAAGATAATCCCAAGCAATACTTTTTAAAAACAAACGTTTTTGTTCTTTCTCTTTATTTATATGTTTATTACTTATTTTCTATATTTGCATAAATTGGTAGGATTTTTTTAAATACAAGAAAAGCCAATAAAACAAGAAAAGCAAAAAATTCAAGTTAAAATATAGCAAAAAATTTTAATTACAAATATTCTTTTATTTTTATTTAATTAGTATTTGTTTTTTATTAATATTATTATATTATATATATAACATATGATGCGCATCAAAAGTCCTTATTACTAAAATTATTTAACCAAATTCATTAACTCTCTGAAAAATTTATATGCATACTAATTGACAAGCTTGACACATTAGTCACCAAATCAACAAATTACAATAAAATGGCTATTCCTAGGCTTATTTGAGTTCGATTTTTAGCAATGCTGTTGACGTGTGTCTGTTTAGGCAGAGGGGGTGCGATTGTTCTTGTTTTCCAGTGGTGCCATCTATGGCCAAGAATTCGACTTCTACCACACCATACGTCGCACCCATTTACAGGGCGGATCCATTCATACATCCATTCATTCATCCACAGATCGTAATTTTGATCTGAATCAGAAAACAATCGATCAACAATCCAGTACCCCTAGAGGTTTTAATATGTTATGGGAACATGAAGGACTTATGCCACTCGACAGATTTAACGTTTCAGTAATTTTACCACACGAGGAGTATTCGGCCGGCGGGGTTCGAACCCACGAACTCTCGGACATGGGCCCAGTGTCCTACCGACCAGGCCATCCCGGGGATTTTAAACAATAAGTTTAGGAAAACATAAAATTGGCTTAAGATACTAAGCGATCTTTTTCAAATGCACACGAGCAGTCAGTTCATAATTTCGAAGTACTCCTAGCTGCGTATGATGATGTATCCGGACATACGTTGATAAGAAGTTCGTATTCTTAGTTAAATTTCCTACGCAGATTTCGCCCATTTTTATGAAGGCAGTCTATATCACCTAGTAAAGGTCTTGAAATAACTCATAACTATGGTGAATATAGTAAAAAAATACAATTTTCCTGTTCTCTACATAAATTTTAATAAGATTCATTTCCTTTTCAAAATTTTATAATAAATATTGTTCCTTTTTTTCAGAAATAGTTCCTCAGCGAGCTCTATCATTTCCTGGGGATTATTATAATTTCACTGTGTTCATAGAAGATAAATCCTATATACATGGAAATAGCATGGTAAATAGGAAAATATGAATATATTTCAGTTCATGATAGAAAATGTAGGAACCCAAGTGCCCCTAATTTAAGTATATAACTCACTCTCTGAAATTCAAATAAGGACGTTTTCATCTTAATTCCAATTATAGGTTTCATTTTAATTATTGTGTAAGTCAAGAACTTATGCTTTAGAGCTTTCAAAATTTTTCCCAATTAACAGCAAGGAAAAAAATCACCTGAACATGAATTAGTTGGAAAAAAGGTGACCTTTACTCAATCTTAAATGCCTTTTTTTGCATCTAATTACTGTTAAATATCAAATACTTAATTGGTTTTAAATGCTTAATTTATTAAAATTTAAGATATACGCTTCATTGAAACCATTTTGAAGTATTAAAAGTTAAATATTAATACAGTTTAAAGTTAAGTTTTTTTCAAAATTAAAGTTAAAATATTATTCCAGTTTCAATATGTTCAAAAAATGCATTAAAGCTTTTTCAAATTAAGACTATGAAAATCTAAGCTGATAAATTTTAATTTATCTCACAAAAAAGAAAAAAAAACTCTGCATGTCGAAATTAACATTAAATATTTAAGAATTCATATAGAGTTTTTTTTTTCCAGCTAATATATTTATAATTAAGAATATTTATTCCAGCTAAAGTAGTTGCTAAAAATGTTAAAAATATTTTGATTTTGAGGTTGAAACTTGACCATCTTTCTTTTTAAAACATAAGTAAAATAATGTAAACCAATATTAAAAAGATTAGTGTTTATAGACGATTGCAATTAAAAATGCTACCATCATCGCAAAAATTTTTTATAACATTATTCACCAAACAAAGAAAAAAATAACTTAATCATATATTTTTTGGAATATAATAATAATATATTAAAGTATATAAAGTTAAAAAGTTAGTTAAAAATTCTAATAAGCTATTAAATGTTATTAAAGCTGTAAATTTTTTTAACATTAAAGATTTTTCAGCATTTTAAAGCTTTAGTTATAGTTAAAAATTAATTAAAATAATGCATCGTAATTAAAAATTCGTATGATCTATTGAAAGCTATTAAAGCTGTAAATTTTTTAAACAAAAGTATCTTTTAAAATAAGATTTTGAAGTGATGAAAAATATTTAACCTTAACATGCTTTTGCAGTTTGTATATATTTAAAAATTCGATTTTAAATATAATTAACTAATGAAACATTTGCTTTTTCAAGCCTGTATTTAAAATATATGAATCATTATTGATTTTTATTGGTTAAATTTAGTCACAGAAGGTAAAAATTAATAACAGATTATAAATACTTATTAGTCGAATTTCGTCATAATAAATAAAGATTTGCTTAAAAATATAGATTTTAATTAGATAAATTAGTCATAAGAGGCAGAGATCCGTGATTATACACTTTTTATAAAAGAAATAACTGTTAGATTATTTTAAATTTTATTTTTTCTTTACTATAATAATGTCTTATATGCTTCAAGAAATATTTTTCACTTTATAGGTGGAATTCAGCTTTTCAGTGATCAACCAAACGCAAACTGAGCTTCCATTCGAAGAAGTGTATCAGATAAACATATCTAGAAATGCTGGCCAATATTCAAGAGTAAGTGCACTCATTGAGATATTAACTTTTCATATTATTTATTTATAATATGGGTCAGTTCTTTTGATATAACAAAATAGAGGTGTAGTTTTGGAGAAAAAAAATTTCAAGTTGTAAGTAATGACAAACGAAATGCGTTCAAAACCTGATTAAATATGCAAGGGCCGCACTTAGCATTCAAAACCTCACCAAATGCGATAAAATCGTAAATTTGGCAAATAAAATTGTGTTTTGGTGAAAGTATTGGGGTGAATGATTTTTCAAACAGTAAAGAAAAATATATATTAACTCTATCTTCAAATTTACGTCAAAATGAATTTTTCAAAACAAATCAGTATTTTTTATTCGATTGCATGATTACAGAATTTTTGGTAGATGCGCCGCATAATCAATTAGAATTGGATCCAAATAATATAAGCCTGGAACAAGCTACAACAAAATAGTTTTCTATGGGAGAAAAATTAATCATGAAAAATTTTTAAGATTTGCATTTGGCGAAGACTTTTGAAAATTAAAGAGTACTTTTGATATTCGAATATTTTACTGGCTAAAAATTTGAAATCCTTAGCGCGAGCCTTGGATATGTTTGATTAAAATTGTTAAAATACGTTATATGTCATGTAAATGAGTTAAAATATGTTATATGCTATATAAATATATTAAAACACTTGATTTCTGTAGTTTAAAATATAAAGAAAGGAAAAGGCACACAGAAATATATTTCATCTTTGTATTAAACTGTCAAATGCAAAATTGCTTTAAATAAATTGCCAAGAACGAAAAAGTTTATTGAATTCAATTCATTTAGACACTTGAACTGATAATAAAACTCATTTAGTAGTAAAAAGGGTAAATTAAACAAGCAAGATTCCCAATAAAGGTTGTAAAAAATTTTTTTACTGATTTATTAAATTAAATTTAGTTTTGAATTTATCAAATTCTGTATTTTTTAGAAAGCTTACTTCAAACCCACTAGCAAATTGCAAAGAGTTGGATAAATATTGTTCAAAAACTTAATATTCGTTAAAATTGTGTGTAAATATTTAACCAACCTTTTCCCCCAATAAAATTCAAGTACTAATATCTGATAAAGCGATACTTTTATGAGACAAAAACGAAATATAATCAAATATGAATCAAATTTGAAGGCTTTTTGTTATTCGTTAAAACGTTTTCATTAATTTATAGTATAGAAATTATTTTAATATATGAAAAAATGCTACTTTCACTTCTTAAAATTGACATATCACTTAATGACATACAAAATTCACTAAGACCAGAAAACCATTTTCTTTAAAACCAATCACACATTCATTTTAAGTCTCAGGAGAAAAACAAATAACGTTTTGGAACAAATATATGTTGCATTTATACAAATACTTGACCTTTTCTAATTCGGGTTTGTGAATTTCAAACCTGAAATTAATTTTGCTCCCAAAGCTACATATTGTTTTTTTAAAAAATGACATTTTTTGTCTGTTTTTTGTCGAGTTGGACAAATTTAAAAACAAAATATGTAGCAGGAGGTCTTGTAAATGTTGGGATCAGCTTTTAGGGGAGCTAAGGCACATTATCAGATTTAAAATTGCATAGGAACCTACCCTTGGAAATGTCGTAATACGCAACTAGAGGCACTTTCGTATTATGACTTGTTCAGCAGTATACGAAGAAGCAGTTCATAACAACGAAGCTCCTCTAGCTACGTATAACGATATTCCCTGGCATAGATGAAGGTTTGATCCTAATGATGTACCTTAACTCCCCTTAAACTTTGTCACAGCATTTATGCAACCTCCTGTTATATATAATATTTTTAAGCAGTTCGACTAAAAATAGACGAAAATTTCATTAAAAAACTCTATCTTGGCGAGAAAAACTGATTGCAGATTTGAAACCAGCGATTCGAAAGTATTTAAGGTCTATTATAAAATCTCATGCAACACTATTATAAACAAAAAGAGATTTTTTTCCCCAGTTTCATTTTTTTAAATTGTATAATTATTTAAGTTCGTGTTCCTAATGTATATAAAATTTAACTTTTTATGATAGTTAAAAAAAATAAAAATGATGATTCTAGAGCTTTTTTGAAGAAATTATAGTTCATTCTAAAAAATATAGCTTCAGTATCGATTCAGTACGCATCATGAATATGATAAGAAAGACTAAGAGACATAAGAAGAAGAAATGAATCCGATATCATTTGTTAAATATTTGCCATGGATAATGTTTTGATTTACGATAATTCCAACTATTTTGACGGATACGAAAATGTTCCGAGAAAAGTTTTAAAAGCATATTTCTTTAAAATTTTCTTAATAATCAGGCAAGAAAAGTTCCGGGAAAATACAATAAAAAGAGAAAATGACAAGATCATTCCTCATAATAAAAGCTTCTAAAAATAACCCCCTGCGTAATATCTTCCTGATGAAATTCAGGATAAGTCTACTCGATATAAGATTATTAACTATTTACAGTAGCATTCCTTAGAAAAAGATAAACACGTGATTTAATATTTTTGATTTTTTAATAAAAAAATGATATTTATAAGAATTCTTATCTCTTCTTTTTTTCTTGAAAATCGGAGTTATTTTAAAAATCGGGAAGAAAAAAATTTCAAGGTCACTTTAACTTACTTTTTAATTTCTCGCGCATGCGGGTTTTTTCAGAATGTTCAGAGCATTGAATTTTTTTTATCTTGTATTAGTTACGAGCATATTTGCAGAAAAAAATATCTTTAAGTTTCTTTCTTCTACAAGTCATCTCACAGTTGTCTTGATACTTAGACTATCTAATAAAAACTTTGAGTTTCAAAGTTAGCTCCATTTATTTATATATATTTTTAAAAGTGGAGCAAGGATTGCCTCTTCTCCTAGAATTTGGTGTTAATAAACTGAGTTGCATCATCATTTGAAAACAATTAAAGCGAGAACAAGAATTTTCTATTTTTTCTAAAAATTTGAAAGTCGTTAAATGTTTTCCGCAAAAGTTGAGTTTCTTCATTAGTTTAAAAGAGTTGAAATTCTGTAAATTTATATACATGTTTAATGTACATGTCTGTGTTTAATATACTTTAAAAAAAAGCACAAATAATACTGTTTATGACTTATTCAATTAATAACAAGCGATCGTATTTATACAATAACCTAAAACAGATTACAGTATATTATATAAAGACAATGAAAGTAAATGTAAGAATTTTCTTTTCTTCCAAAAATTTGAAATTCAGGGAATATTTGTGGTAAGTTTTAAGTTTCTTGATGATTTAAAGAACTTTGAATGAAGTCAAAAGTCTTTAAATAGTGTTTAAAATCCATTCAGTAAAGCACAAATAATTGTGTTTTAGAACTATTCAATTAACAGCAATAGATCGTACTTATACAGTAACTTTAAAAGAATTTAACTATCAGAATTACACAATCCTATTCAACTTAATAAAATCTTCTTTGCTGCAAATTTTTATCATATAATCGTTTCAAAAAATGAACTGATTTGTTTAGGAAGGTTCATGTAACATACATAATGCATGCTTAAATAAAATGTTTAGATTACTGAAAACAATAATAAATACGTTACACAACACGTTACGTAATCGAAAATTTCAAAACATATTTTAAAATGGGAATTAAAATATTTTATTTCAGGTACAAGATTAAAATTGTGTACTCTAAATTGAAAATTAAAATGATATAATTATTTTAAAAATCAAAATGATTTATATTTTAAATTGAAAATTAAAATAGTTTGTATCAGTGATAGTTATTGATGATATTGATAAAATAATCTGGTTTTAAAATTAATGCATGTTCTTTAAATACTCACCTTATAAATTATCTTCTTCAGACCTCACAGAAAAAAAAACTGTTCTAAAATTACCGTACTGGACCGTAATGTCAATTTTAAAAAAAGCATAATTATGGTTAATAAAACCGAAATATACGATATTTAAACCATTTATTTGGTAATTTTTTTTGTACATATAGTAACTGTTTAATACATGTTGTAAAAAATGTAAAACTAAAATGTAAATTTAACCGTTTAAATGATTTTTATCATGCTTTTAAGTACCATGACAGAATTACAGAATTTTACTATGAGTACCAAATATTATTCCATATTAGAAAAAATTGTTTTGTTACTAATTTTATCAAAATCATTACCAAAGTGCGTTGGTAAAAATTACCGAGCTTTTTGGTGTTCCCATAGAGGTAAACATGGTAAATTTTACCTTATTCTGGTAGTTTAGACCATACTTTTTTTTCTCAGCGCAGATATTGCTTTAACTTTGAAAATGTTTACTTAAAATTTATAGTAGGCAGTAATATTCTTTTTGCTTTTAAAAAAGTTGTCTTAATAAAGAGACAGCTAATTTTTACCCCAGCTCCATATCACTCTAAACACAATTACTACAATGAATAAAAATGTTCATTACTTTCTAATTTTACAATTTACAAATTTCGTCCTAAAAAAGATCTGAATAAACTTGAACTGAATTTCAATCAAATTATTTTTTGCATTAGAAAGACTTTTATAAAAATGTTACAGAATATATAAACTCAGATTTTTTGCTACGTAGCACGTTCCTATTAAAATGAAATTTAAGATCAAGTACTTTTTACCATAATTTAATCCAGCACTTTTTACAGTGTAGAAAATGATCTATACCAAAACTATTACCAGATCGCCATATTAAAATGTATGACAAATATAAAGACATGGTACTGATTTTGGTACTAATTTTTTTTTCTGTCTGTTAGATTTGTAGAAAATAAAAGTTCAGTATTTGTATTTCTGATGTTCGTTCACTGAAATTTCCAATCGATTGCATCTTTAAGCTTAATATCATAAATACTAAAATTTATGTAATAAAACTACACTGTAAAAAACTTGGATAAAATTGCGGTATAAAATACTAGCACATTGTGTGCATTATCCGTAAAATCAGTTTTCATTGCCGTAAAATGCATTTTACTCAAAAAATAAATTTTACCATAAGATATTATACCCTAATTTTTAAAGTAATGTTTATTTAATTAGAGTAATTCAGTGATTTTATGTTTAATATTACTGTAAAAATTACTGTGCATCAGATTTTTTTAATGCTACCGGCCCCCTGAACGCCCCCCATCTTTCTCATTCACAAATGTACAACAAATTAAAATATTTTTCCACTTTAAAATTTAAAATTTTACTTTCCAAGGGATTGGATAAAAGTTAATATAGTCGTGAACTAATTTGTCACGTTGGTCACTCAAAATTTGAGTGTGATCATGTTCATGATAAAATAGCTTTTTTTTTGTATATTTGTATTGGATACCTATCAACGAAACAAAGAATGAAATATGAAGACTATAACACTTAAATAATCCCTTTTGAGTTTCCAAATGAAATAATATTGTATTTTCGTGACTAACGTAACGACCAAATTATAAGGATCATTAATCAACGTAATTATTGCGGTTAGTTTATGAATTGATTAAATGACTTTAAAAGTAATATATTTAAGGCGAATTATTTTCACGATTATTTTACTTCAATCATGTAAAATAAAATAAAAGTATTTGTTGCATACCTTCTTTTAGTTCCTCTTTTTCAATTTACATGTGCTATAATCCTCAAAACAGTAATACACTGTAAAAAAATTTTCGGATCAAATTACAGTATAAAATAATGCATTACCTTAGGTGCATTATCTGTAAATTTTATTTTATCGTAAAATCCAATTTTCCGCAAAATACTATGCCGCAATTTTTACAGTAATATTTATTTAATTAGAGTGACTAAGATATTTTATTTTATTTATTACTGTAAAAAATTCCTTGTTTTGTAGCATGTTTCGGTAAAAATGGATTTTATGATGAAAATTACTAGCACCCTGAGAGCCAGTATTTTCTATTGTAATTTTCACAGTGCAGTAAATGGCTTGTTTCAAAATTTTTGCCAGATTGCCATACTAAAATGTCTGAAAAAATATTATATTAAAGTTTTGTTTATATTTACTTTTGTATGAAGTTTTTTTCCTCTTTTTTTCTCCTAATGGCAAGCACTGAACTTTTACGTTCTTCGTCTAGGAAAATGCTAGAAATAATACTCATTTAACGTTACCCAGTGGGCACCTGTGAACTTAAGTCACGGAGGCAAGCAACATTACCCACGCTACACTGCCACAGATACCTGTTTATAGGGGGGGGGGACGCATTCACACAATAAAGAATATCACACAAAGAGAAACATCCTTGCCCTGAGCGGGATTCGAACTCGCGAGCACGCTAACCGCTCGACCATCTGGCCGACGATTTGTATAAAGTTAAAGCGCCATTTTTGGCTCAGCTAAATTTTAAAGTCATCTAATCTTTATTAAGTTAATTATAAAGAATTTCTATATTTAGGAGTTCTTCTTGTATATCCCAGTTTCTATCTAACTCTCCAACTAAAGCATTATTCTAAAAAACAAGAAAAAATTCTAAAATCAAGGGGAACATACTAGACATCACGGAAAAGAAAACTGCCATTTTAAGAAACCTGAAATCTCATTGAATTGGCTGATACCGTGTGTTAAGAATTGAAAAATAGCATTTTGGTGATAGAAAACTTTGAACACTCATTTAAAGCAGAAGACGCAATTTCAACTACTTATCAATTTATTGATTACAAATGTGAATTAAAAACAGTAGTAATAAGTAAATTTATATGGAAAACCTCTTATAATCACAATTAATTGGTTACATAACATCGAAAACAATGGTGCAATGTTTACTGACAATGTGAATTAACTACCTCTTGAAGTAAATACATTTACGATTTAATTATATATTCAATAATTATTTTAGAGACATTTCTGTTTTGTTCAGTACATTTATATGATTAGAAATAGATTTATTTTCAGGAATAGTTTTATTGATTACATGATTAAAGGTGTCGAATCGGAGCTTCATTGAATTCTCGTTTACTTTAACACAATAGTTTACTCAATTAATTTGAATGAAATAAAGAATAAAGTTAAGTGGATACTCAACGTTCTAAAAGGGGTTAGTTTCGTTAACTTTCTTTTCCTTAACTTAATTATCTTGATCAATAAGCAGAACTTTTTTTTCATAAAATTACTGTCTCCTCTACATTATTACTAATGAAAGAATAACTATTTAAGATAATTTAATTCATTTAGTTAAGCTTATTTACTGAACGTTAGTTTAATAAAATAATATTTGAGTTTATAGTTAATAAAATGTTGAGATTCTACTGCGTAGTGCGACTAAGCAAAAATATTTCATGAAAATGTATATAAGCCTCTTATGATTTCGTAAACCCTTCCTTAATTTCTTTTTATTAGTTTATTATTTTAATTAGTTTATTATTTTAACTAAAAATTGAATCTGATTCATACAATGTCTTTTTCTATTTATAAATACTTACTTGGTTTTATTTATTTTTATTATAAAGCAGTCTGGAAAATATTTATATATGTGCCTAATTAAATTAATTGTATTATAACCTTATCTATAATAATTAAGAAAATGATCCTTATATCAATAGGGTCCTTTCTATGCCTATAACTAAATAAATTTTTATAATTAATCTAATGCTACAATACAAACTAAAATTAACTTGTAAAAATTTCATTGACAACATTTATGAAATAAACAATTGCATGTATAGTGAATTAAAAAGAAAGTTTATTGATAACCACATATTTAATATTTCGTTCTATTGTTCATATTTTATGAATATTTCGTTAGTTTATTACACAGGTTTCAATTACATATCAATATTTGTAATTGCCATAAAACTTCTCTCCTTATTGTAGCTGATTCAACTGACAAAATATAACTATTCGAGACGATTTCGTTTTTCTATTGGCACTCATCATCTAGATTGGTTGGGTATCACGGAGCAAACGGGAATAGTTTACGTACGTGATCGTTTGCTCATGCCAACCGAAACAGATACGAGAAGAGTGATTTGGACTACAAAAAATGAAACATCAGAAAGATCGGGAAGCATTTTATTGGACATAACTATACTAGAAGGTAATAAAAACAATTATGGTTATTCTTAGATTTACTCATAACATCTTCTGGCAAAATGTTCGAAAAATACAGTTAAATAAAAAATATTCTTTTCTCAAAATTTGTTTTGATTTATAGATCATAAAATGGTTTATTGTGCAATACGCAGAAAAAAAAACGAAAAAAGGACAAACCAACCTAAATAACTTTTGATCGTATGATCGAACCTTCACGTTCAGAGACTCAATATACTGGCTCGAGAAAGTGATCTCAAATATGCTAATTAAAAAGTGCAGACGATATTTTAAGTTACGAAATCAGACATAAAAACGTACTTTCTCTGAATAAATATATATTTTTTTGACGGATTCAGATTTCTGATCTCAAAAATATAGAAGTTAGTCGGGATCTGGGAAATATGGTCCTGATAGTTTGGTCGGGAGGGTGCTCCAAAATTTGGACCCTTTAATAAATTTTTGCTTATTTTGCTATAGCTCGAGAATTTTTTAAAAGAATTGAAAATTTTTTGCACACAATTAAAAGATTCTTTCATCCAAAGATAATTCCATACTGAAATTAACTTTAAGTAAATATTTTTATTTTTTATTATTTTATTTAATAGTGGTGGAAAAAATTTTGAATTGTAAGGTACACAATTGTTTGCATAATTTTTAAATTTTTTACGTGGCAAAATGCGAAATTTGAGCCAACTCGGTGGCGGATGTTCATAGGAACTATTCGATTGATTTGGCTCAAATTTTTTGCTTTGCTACGTAAATTCGAATTTTTTGAAATGATTCAAAAAAATAGAATGCCCTAAAATTCAAAATATTTTAATATTAAATAAAATATTAAATAAAATATTAAAAAATAATATAAAAATAATATGTATTTTTAAGTACGTTTTGTGTTTGATTTTGTAACTTAAAATGTCGTCTGCAGTTATTAATTAGCATATTTGAAGTCACTCCCTAGAGCCATTAAGATTGAGTTCTAGGACGTGAAGTTCCGATCATAAAATCAAAGGTTATTCATGGTGGTTCTTTTTTTAGCGCGCTATACATTAATTAGATAAATCTGCTGGACATGTTTTTGTTTTTATTGCAAGAAATGTAATGAAAATAAAGTCTATTTTTTTATAATTAAAATCGTACCCCTGAGATGCACGTCACGTGTTCTTTAAATAAATATAAATTCATTGACAAAATTTCATTACTTAACTTTTATTTTATTACGTGCAATTTCATCCGTTTTCAAGTTACCCGAAGCGTATTGCGAAATTTTATTTTACACACAAAATTTTATATTAGAAAATTAAATACAAAATTTGTTTTATCTATTTAAAAGTAATAATTAAGTTGTAAATCCTGAATAAATACGCTTTTTATAGTGAGTGAGTTTCCTAACCCTATTAGTCCCATTGATTAGAAAGCACTGCTGGCTTTGAAGTATTTTTTTTTAAATTTCAGTCTCCATTTTTTTTAGTTGGAACTTTAACATTCGAATTTCAAAAGTGGTAAAACTAAAAGAGTAAATAAAAAAAGAAGGAATTATAATTTTGTTTTTTGAGTCTTATATTTCAGAGCTTTCACGTAACCCTGCTTTTTACAAAAAAAATTTTTTTTTCAGATATTTTTTTCTCATTTAGAAATCCAACATGAAATCGTTTGAAATTTATTTTATTTTAAGAATTTTTTTTTAAATCATAATATTGGTTTGCTTTTTTCACAGCATTTTATGAATTATTTTGTTCATAAAATATTATTCCAACTGATATGAAGGAATAAAAAAAGTTTTGCGCTTTGAAATAAAAAAGTTTATTTATTTGATTATGGACTTAATTATCTCAAAAGTGATTTTTCAACCTTATGAAGCAAGACAGATTAAAGCAATTAAGGCATGATATTTTTCATACCAAAAAATCCATGCATAAATTTTTAAAAATACTTAAATTTTAAAATTTTAATAAATTTTTCAAAATATTTTCATTTATGTCAAAAGAAAGATATATTATTTTTTTCAAATGCTTAAATTTTAAAATTTTAATAAATGGAATAAAAAGACATTTTAAATAATTTTTCTATGCTGGAACAATGTTTTTTTTTTAATTTCTTATGAGCTGCACAATCAGTCTTCCCGATGAGCAGAACTAGTGCGTTCTCCAGAAGTGGTATCCACTCCTTCAGAACCACCACAATGGGTGAGATACCGTTGGCCATGTTAATTTGGTCATCTAGTTTCTGCCACACTAGATGGCAGCACCTAGACTCTATTTGGATGATAAAATGCACTAGGAATTTAATTTTGACGGAAATGCCAAGAGCCAATAAGGCACTCCAGGCATCTTTTACATGCCGCATAATCATACGACATGACCGCTGAGGATTTTATGCATCCCGAAAATCCGGTGTCTAGGCCGGGGATCGAACCCGCAGACTTGGGCTCAGAAGGCTGACGGATTGTATTTTGTTGGAACAATGTATATTGTATTTTTCCATGCTGTTTCTAAACAGTATAAAATAATAGTGTTAGAAACAGTATAAAAAATTCCACGCAATAGATACTTTAAAGAAAGTTTAAAAATTGTGTTCCGAACCCCTTATTTTTTTATTTATATTCTAACTTTTATCACAAAAATTTGCATAACTTTAACACGATTTTTCTTTTTCCTTTCAGATAATTCTACAAATACTTGCAGTAAGTTTATCATTATTTTTATTCATACTACTTTGATGTCATAATCCATTTAAAATATTATTAGAATATTAAAGTTAGTATTTTTAAAATTTTCAACTTAACAAGCACTTTAGCTTGGGGGAATATAAAATTTAATTTCTACGTAATTTAATGCATCTATTTTTTCCCCCTAATTTCACTGCATTAAACTATCGTGTATATTTCGATCTCGTGAGAAAACGAAATTACGTAATAAACTCTGTAAATAGAAGAAATTTAGGATTCAAAATACTATCATTTCTATTCGAAATATATCTATTCTATTCTTTTATTCAAAATATAATAAAAATAAAGTGAAACGTATTTTTCGGTACTCAAAACTGTTATATAATTGTAGCAAGAATTATAAAGCTACATCAAAATTTCTCAAGTTCTCTCCGTTAATATTTCTTACATAGCAAACTCGAGATAGAGGAGAAATCTTACAAACATTGCTGAGTTTTGACATGTAAAACAATAGCATAGACGTCCCCCTAACATATCATTTTATCATAAAAATTTCATTTCAATCTAAGTTACACGTTCTAATGTATGTTTCTGAATAAATATACAAATCATAACTCATGTGCATGTCAAAATCACGAAATCACCTCTTCTTTCTACCAAAAAAAAAAATTTATTAAATTGTCTTTACACACTTGCTAAAGAATGTGAACCTTCTACCATTGTGTTTACAGACCAGGAACATACTGTAAAAAATTCCTAATCAAATTACTGTAAAAAGTGACGGTACTTTGGATGCATCATTTGTAATATCTGTTTCGCCGTAAAATAAATTTTTACCGTAAAATAATAAATCTCAATTTCTACAGTAATATTTATTTAATTAGACTGTTACAGTGATTTTACCGTAATTATTGCAATAATACTTCTGGTATATCAGATTGTTTGTCCTATAATACGTTCCGGTAAAATAGATTTTACTGCAAAAAGAACTTGCACCCTGAGTATCGGTACTTTTTACCGTGATTTGAACCAGACTTTTTTTACAGTGCATGTTACGTCATTTGCATGCATTTCTTCTGGTATATTTTCAATCTGTAAGAAAAAAAAAACATTAAACCAATGAAGTAGTATGTTGAGTTTTATTTCCTCATCTAAACTTGAAATTTTCGATTTTAATTTTTTTAGGTGAAGAATTCTGGTGTTCCTACTATTCTGAGCAATCAGACTGCATTGACGCATGTGGTATGGGTTCAAATTCTGGCCACTGTCTTTGGAGGCCAGGGTCACTCACAAATACTGGACCTCGACCAAACTATTCGACTTGTTCTCCAGAATTCTCATTTTGCCCAGATGGTGTGTGTGATGAACTTGAACAAATAGAACCTAAACTCTGTCCACAAGATTGCGCAAGTAACTCATTTTTATATGGTGTTATCCCCACATTTATGCAATATCTTATATAAATTTTTCTTTTTAAATTTTAAAATATTTTAGCGTCATTTCAAAATTTATTATCTTAAAGCAGTGATTTATTGTATTTAGAAAGCAATGTAAACTTTTATATATTATTACATCTTACCTTAAACTGACAGTCTTCGACAAAATTACGTATATGTTACGGTCAATGTAAATTATTAAAACAAACCGATCAACATTAATAGTAACCACATTGTCCGGTTAAAGTTAATAATTTAAGCGAATTTATCACATTAACCGGTTATTATTAATAACAACCATTTTAGAACCGTCGTTGAACAGCCGACCCAATCTCATAGGTTTACGACTATTGATGTTCAACTCCGTAGCCTTGTAAATTTGAACCCAATCCAGAAAACAAGGAACTCCTGGATCGAGTATTGGGAGAAACTTGCTTTCGTGGAGGACTTTTTGATGGAGCTAACCCGCATTTCCATTACATGGAGAGGAAGAAAACGAGAACCTCCCACGGTTAGTCTGACGGCAAGGGGACTCTAACCCATGATCCGTCTACCACTGAGGCTATTTCACGTCAGCACCGTAGTCAGTGCAAGCCGCATGCAGAATTCGTATCGACTGGGATTCGAACCCGGTTCGTCTCATTGGGAGGCGAACGCTCTATCCCCTGAGCCATCACGGCTCCAATAACAACAATTGAAGTCTGGTCATTGACCAATGTCATTCCTTCTCGTTTATATTGGGGATATTTCCGTATCGTGGTTTTCCACGCCAACTACAATAGCCAAGGCACCAAATTGATTTTAAACGCCACTGTCCGGAAATTGCCAAGACTTGGCGGTAACTCTGCTACAGATTCATGTATGGAAATCTTTTCATTTTATTTCTCACTTTGACCACAAGAAGTGGTTATTATTAATATTAACCGGTAGTATAACCGGATTTATTACCTTAACCGTAACATATATATTTTTTAGTGAATGTATTTTTGCCTTTAACATAACCATTAATCAAAACTGGATAATTGTTTTGCATTCCATTTATAGTTTTTACATTAATTTTTGTTTTTTATAATATAAATGGATTGATAAAATCTATATTATTCAATCGGTATTTGCAATTTGTTTTCACTGGGATTGAAATTGACTTTTATTTTCCTTACCTTTTATCTCTTTGTGAACTATGTCTTGCTGGTTAAACCTTAACTAAAATGCTTGCACTAAAACAAAAAAAAATTACATCTAATTGAAAGCAAGCAGCTGTGGTTCAGAGGATAGGGCATTCACCTCCCAATGAGGTGAAACAAGTTCGAATCCCAACGGTGGTTGGTTGATTCTAATTTTATTCCGGCTCGCATCGACCACAGTGCTGACCTAAAACAACCTCAGTGATGGACGGATTGTGAGCTACAATCTCTTTGCCATCCTGCTTACTGTGAGAGATTGATTTTCATAGTTTTCCTCTCCATGTAAAGCATGAGTTAGTTCCATTAAAAACTCCTCTGCGATGGCTAGTTTGTCCCGACGCATGATCTGGGAATTCCTTTGCCTTCTAGGTTGGGTTCAAAATTTACATGGCTATGGAGTTGAACAATAAAAGTTAAATACTCAGGATTGGATCTGCTGATCAACGCTGATTGTAAAATAAAATGGAATGAAAATTTATTTTTCAAAAAATTGAAAATTTAAAAGAAACACAGAAGATCATATTAAATAGTTTATGGCTTATTTATGATGTAGGTTTAGGTCTCTATAGATTTTAAAAAACTTCTTCAAACCAGATAACAAGATTCAGGGCATGCAATTTTTACACCAGCTAACAATATAAAAGTGATAATGTAACTAATTAATGAAAACATCTTCAGAAAAAATCAATGAAATATCGCTATTTAAACTCAATTTGATTTATTGAAATTGTATTAATTTATTTATTTACTTTTGATTTCTTGAAAAAAGAAACGTGTTCGTATTTTCAGCCGAGTTGTTTAACTCTTTTCTAATTGTTTCCGAACATCTATTTATTTTAGGTCAAGTAACTGGGGAAGCAACTATGCATTCGAACGGACGAGGCATATTTCTGGCCGTGGGTACTTGTTCTTGTCAAACAACAGACCGCTGCAAATGTATCCGTGTTTATCCACCTCCGAGCGAAATGAGAAGACCTAAAATGTTCCGTAAATCAAACATTTTGTCATTGCCGAAAGATATCAACGCCACAGATGATGAAAATGTGTATGTTGAAGTGAGAGGGGTAACATCCAATTCGAATGATGCCATTCCACCCCTCGCAGGTAAATATTATTCCATAATAAGTCTATTTAAATAATGAAAGTTTCGAGAGATTTCGATGCGAAAATATCATGTTACATATAGAAGTTTAAAATAATACAAAATATCTGTACTCCCACTTCAATCCCTTTCGCAATAATTTCTTCGAATTCGCGCAATAATATTTTATGAAAAACAATGGCGCTTACTTAATTAAAACATTGGCAATACTTAATTTTAATGATTTGAAAGTCATCATCGTCATTATACCGTGACCAAGCACCGAGCCCTATTTTTATAGCTCGATTTTTAATCATCCACGTAACTTTAACCGGTCAGACGACAATGACAGCGCCTGAGCTGGTACTCATCTTCCCAAACTTCCACACCACAGCCGTCCCGCAGTAAGCTGATCATTAAGACACGGTTCCCTGAAGATCACCGTAGTCAAACATCACTGGCTGCGGTCAGTGTGCGGGTGGGTGACCACTTAGATCAGTCAGCGTAGGAACCGACGGTGTGCGGTATTGATCCTCGTTAAACTGTTCCATTGTAAAGTGTTCGACTTCGCATGCATGTCGTAAGGCTACCGAAGCGGGGGTGACGTCCCCTCTGCAGAGGATCAAAATTGTGATGGCATGTCTTCGGATGTTTCCTAGATCGTCGCCAATAGCCCATTGTGCAACTCTAGTGCGACGTAAATGAACTACAACTACAACCCCACACCACAACCAACTATAGGACTTTCAGCCACAACAGATTAAACATGCACCTTACTGCATACACTCGCCGGTTATTTTGTCTGCTGTCAGCATAAAACTCACTACCCCCAGCTCTCCAACCAATGATGTGTATGACACCTTAACCGATTGCGCAACCGGAGATCCTAATTTAAAAGCCATTATTTTTACTTCCTATTTATGTATATTTAGACAAGTTGAAAATGTGATGCAAATAACATATCACATATTCGACTTATAACTACATGTTAGCCACGGTGTCTCAGGGGATAGAGCGCTTGCCTCTCAGTGATGTGACTCAAAATGCCGTCGGGAAAACCTAGCAAGGTTTTCGTGGTTTTCCTCCCCATGTAATGCAAATGAGTTTTAGTTTCATCACAAATTTCTTCACGGAGGCTAGTTTGTCTCAAGGCTTGATTCAGGATTATGGATAGGGCTCAAAATCACAAAGGTACGGAATTGCACATTAGTTGTCGTAAACTCAAGATTGGGCTGGCTCTTCAACGCTGGTTATAAAATAAATTAAAAATAAACATATGCATTAATTACCCTTGAATTAGCATTTATTTTACTTTCTTACTTTAAGAGATTGAGCTAATACCACATAAGTACAGTATAAGAAATCGAAACAGAATAAATCCGCATTCGTTTTAAGCGCATCTCACCACTATTGTGCATCCAGCTCTTGAAGACAATATGACAATCAATGGGCCTGTTTACAGCCTAATCCGAAATTCATCAACTTTTAAGAATTTTATCGCTTGCGCTTTCAACAGAATTTTGGAATAATTCAAGTCATAATTTTCATTATTCGTCGCTACTCTTTATTTAAAAATGCATTTTTTTATCAATATTTTAAATATTTCTTTCATAAAATTACACTACAGTAAAAAAGTTAGAATCTTAAAGAATAATAGAATACGATTCCCGATTTTTACGAGCTTAGGGAACATTCCTACTGATGGCGGTTTGATTATTCTACTTCTGCACCAATGAAATTCTTAATTTCTAAATGTACATTTCATATAAATTTTTATTCTAATGAAAAAGTGACAATTCACGGTTAGGAAATATTTTGTATTAAAATAAAAAATTTCATTTCAAAACATTTGAATTCCATGCAGAATCGTTTATTTATAAGAAAAAGACAAGGAAAGAATATCCTGATTCTTCTCCTAAGAGAAAAACCAAGTAAACCTTTCAATTTGTTTTCGAACATATATATATATATATATATATCTTCTCATATAAGGATCTAGCCAAGATTGATAGGCACGATGTATATAACATTTAAGAAATATTGAATAATCAGTTAGAATAAGATAAAAAATAAATGTAGTAAATGTATTACATTTCTAACCTATTCAATTTCATTTTTATGTGTTCTCTTAGGACCCTTCATAGATGGTACCTGTGGAGCAGCATGCATTCTCATAGCAACAATGGTGCCATTTGGCCTCATAATGTTCATCGTCATCTTCATTTTAGCGAGAAAATTGAAAGCAAAAAGTTTGGTCAGACACAAGTTTGTTGGTGGAAGTCACATATCTTTATCTGCTGTTCCTTCTGACTACGTTGAAGAGGGGTCTAATTCCATCCAAGAGTCAAGAAATACTCCAAGTGAAACTGCGAGCTTTGGCAAAACAGCTGTAAGTATTACACAGATAATCCGTCTTGGCGATGCAACTCTGTCGTATCTTATCTCCAATAAATTTATATGTTTCTCCAGTGAAAAAAAAATCGAAACATGAATGACGTCTGACTAGTAAAAGCTTTCCACCAATTACGTGCTTAGACGTCATTCTTACTTTCCTTCTTGTAACGGAGCTTGTCTTCTCATCCGAGAAAAGTATTTTGAAACTATTTTATTCGACTTCCCTCCAATGATTTTATTTTAAAATAGTTTAATTCCTATTGTGTTTTTTGGTTAATTCATAGACGTTCTCTCATTAGTTAATAATGTAATTTTCGACAAATATCAAAACTTTTTAAATCATCGTGGAAATATACTTTTCACCAAATAAAATATTAAGATTGAACTTTAAGTACTTAAGTAAAACCTCTTAAATTTACAATAATTTTAAATTTAATCTTAAGTTAAAATAAATTAAATCTCCTAAATTTTAAGAAAAAAAAAATGTAAGGGATAGATGCATGATGTGTAGAAACATAAAATTTTATTTTTGTACTTACACATTCAAGTCCTAGATAACTTAGGTCTTAAATCATGGTTCTAAATATTGAGAAAAGAAAAGAAAATTGCAGTAGCAACTACTTCATCCACAACGAAAAGGTAAAATAAAACGGTATCTCGAGCCTGATTGGTTGTTGAAAGGTGGCTTTGTTTACGTTAACAAGTGTTCCTTCCTTTCTATTTCGAATAAACGTACCCCGTCAGATATCAATTATTTTAAGTGATACATTCTATATTCTTAACTAAAGATTCTTTCACAAAGATTTCAATTCTTTCATCATATATTTCTTACTTAACCCAAGGACAGGCATGAAGCCACGTAGAACATAAATAAGCTATTTATGCATCGAAGCTGCCAGGTACACAAAACAGAAATGCATCACGTTTACAATAAAATATACAAACAAATAAAAAATCTAAGTTAAGTAAAAGATGTATACAAGAACAGTTTATATTTCAGCAAATTTTAAGTGTGATACGGTGCATTTAATTAATTTCACATTAATTAACATTCTAACTTATGTACAGAAACATAGCTCAAATTAAATGCACCATTTTGCTTATAAACGATCAGCTGGTACTGATCTCATAATTCACTTGTGTGGGTATCTGTAATTTCTTCCTCATCTTGAAGTGCAATTATCCAATTAAACATGCCATATGAATGTGAAGCAACTTCTTAACGTAACTACTCATTGACTCGATCATGCTGTATTTTAGTTTTTGAACAGGCCGACCGGACTAGTGTAGGAGTAAGGGAACTGGCCTTGCATCAAAAAAGTTCTGTGTTCAAATCCCAGCCAAAGCATGGGTGTTCTTTCAATCTCTGTACTTTCTGTCCTTACTGTGGGAGCAACGTTGTCCCAGATTATATGGTGCCCCTGAAAGAGTGGCTAACAAATCGGCTCTTCAGATGCCTCTATTGATGAAAGGTCATTCCCTAGGTGGGCATGGGAAAAACAAAGCTCGTGAACAGCGCTATTAAGCTAAGTTTTTTTTTAAAATTTATTTTCTGCTTCAAAAAGAATTTTTTTCTTTTCAGATCTGTGTATTTAAATATGTTGCTCATAGAAGTGAAAGAGGTTTATAACAGTTAAAATTCGTTTCGTTTTTGAGTAAAATCTTGACAGATAAAATTCATTGGCTCGTACAGTTAATAATAGCAAATAAATTCACAGTTTGATTTTAACAAAGTTAATAATTTTTTTTTATTATCATGAAAACCTTATTGCGATAATTAGCGTATAATTTTAAATTTTAGGATATGTTGCACTGAGTTTTTAATAACAGATCCACTCTCATTTTAGTAATATGAGTTTAAACTTGCGCATTGTCTTGCTTTTTCACTTTACGATTTTAAATCCTGAAATATTTGAAATTCTACTTTATATAAAAAGGCATAGCAGGCTAAAAGGCTAATTGCCATGAAACTTTGTAGACTGTAGTACAAAAAGACCCTGCAAAAATGACTGACGGGAAGATTTCCGTATTGTGATCTGCAGGTCAACTATAATTGCCAAGGTGCCAAATTGATTTTAGACGGAAAAAATTGAAAACGAAAAACATGAAGCTGTTTGCTCAGGGGAAACTACGAGTTATACCCTTTGAGTTAGCCCCTTTATGTAATGTTTTTTTTAGTGTCTTGTGGGAAGCTGCCCGGGAGTTGCCAAGACTTGGCATTTTTTCTACCACAGATTAAGATACGGAAATCTCCCCTAACTGCCAGATATCCTTCAGTTATTCAAAACTATGCTTACTTAATACTTAGGATTTTGATCGAATGTAAGATTTGTATTTTGTATTTTTTCTCTTTTTTTCACAGATTGAAACAAAGTGGGAGTTCCCAAAAAACAAACTACAGTTCACTTGTCTGTTGGGAGAAGGTGAATTTGGTAAAGTAATGAGAGCAGAGGCATGGAATATAGCCGGTAATAAGGGCTATACCACAGTTGCCGTTAAAATGCTAAAAGGTGAGAGAAAAAAAAGCAATTTTGGAATAAGAACAAAAATATTCAAATATGGGAGTATATGATCTCGTTGGATTCTAGGACAATCTAAAATCCATTGCTTTAAACTGTGTGAAACTGCAAAAGATAAATTGAATAAAATTTTGTGTAAATGCAGAAAAATAAATGGAAAATAAATTTTGATGAATAGTCAAAAATATTTTTTCTAAGCAATCTGTTTTTTTGAGGTAAAAAAGATGAACAATTACTGCTACTAAACAGAAAACAATATATTTTTAGCTTATTTCAAACGGAAAATGTTTTAATGAAAATTGTGTTACGTGCTTTAACGTTATAAAATACTCAAGTATTTGATTTAAGCCAAGAAGTTATGAAAAGATAAAAGTAATGTATATAAAAGTAATTTCTTTGATAAATAAAGAACAGCGAAATATATTACGCTGTCATTAACACCAAATCGGAAACAGTTTATTATTTGTTAACTCTATTACAGTGACAGTATTAATAATGCATTAAATATCAATTTAATAATAAAGAAACTTTTAAGACAGATGATGACAATGACGTCTAACCGGAGGGTAGATCAAAGATTGGTTGAAATATCATTTTTCCTTACACTTCGTTGAGTACTTTACTTTTTTGTTGAGAGAGATACTTTTTGCTTGCATTAAGAAATCTAAATAAACTATGTAATTTAATATTTTTAGCCATTCGCATTTTAAATGATATAGAAGGAATAGTTCTATTTTTTTTATAATTCCAAGTTTACATGCATAATATATTTTTGTAAATCGTAAATTTAAAACATCAAAAGTGGTAAACATCGCAAACTTTACGAAAAATTGAAAAAATTTCCATTAGAGAAATTTAAATATTTTAATAAAAGGGAAAACACATTAGGATACATTATACACATAAGAATTGAAACGATTCGTTTGAACGCAATGGGTTTAGAAGTGTAGAAAAATCACAAAAAAACACAAAAAACTGTTTTTACTATAGCAAACTTAATTAAAAAACTAATAAAAACTTCAAACAATTTTTAAAACTGCTGTCTTTACACCCGTTATCCGGATTTTAGAATTCCAGCACTATTCTGAAAATATAAGAAACATACATAGGTACAAGTATGGAAAATCTTCAATTTACTAAAATCGATTATAAATGATGCACATAACTCTTAAAAACAAAAATTGTTTTTAGTACTTAATAATATACAATCCATTTGTTTAATTGTCTACCTACTTTCCTGATTAATGTGGTACAAATTTATAAACATTTTAAAATGTAGAAGATCGGAAATTTTAAATGAGTAAAGAAATGAAACTGTTTTTTTTTAGAAAATGGTGGGGTTGCTGAAAGACAAGATCTTTTCACGGAGTTCTTGCTTTTGAAAGAAATTTCCCATCCAAACATTGTGAGACTCCTAGGAGCAACAGTAGAAAAAAGTTTGTAAAATTTGATTTATTTCGATAGTATTTTTTCAGTTTGTTTTATTGATCTAGTCATATGATGTAAATTTTTAAGTTTGTATTATTGATCAAGTCCATACAATCGTAACCATACGATACAAGTCCATACAAGTCCATAGTAATCATACGATGTAAATATCGTGTGGTTACTATCCATAGAATTTTGTATAAAAAATTCAAAATAAAAGTCAAAAACCATAGAATTTTGTATAAAAAATTCTGTGTTTACTTGAATTGTGCTGCTGCGTAAATTATAAAGCAATTATAAATGCTGAGTCACTTTATAGTTTTCTTCTTTTTGTTTTTCCGCAATTCAATTTTTTTGATATCTTATTGTTTTATTAATTAAAAACTATAAAATATTAACGGTTTCACGAAATTTCAAGCATTTAGGAACTCTAATAAAAGTATAAATTAAGTAATTTATTGGTTTCAGATTTGCTTTATGAAAAAATGAAACATTTTCAAATAAGACTTAGATTTCCGTCTTATTTGTTAAGTTATATTTTAAAAGGAAGGGAAAAATATTTTATAGAAAGGGTGAACAAAAAATGTATTGTCTTATCATTTTTTTTTAAAAAAAAAATTATAAAGGATATTAAATATCAGAACATAATTTTACTTATTTCATTTTTTTACATAAAACATCTAAAGAAACTCATATAATATAAGAAATAAAATTGTTTAGTTGTAAAAAAAAACTAAAATTTTTAGTTTTTCGAAGCATAAAAAAGTTAAAATACCTTTGCATGCATAATAAGTTTGAATAGCATAAGATTGAAGCTACTATATGTTGTTTTTAAGATGAAGCAACATTGAAAATGAAATTATCAAACAATGAAAAAAGTTACATGTTAAAACTCACACCGATTTGGAATACCTCTTGCATTTTCTGTTTTAAATTTTTATTTTTTAATAAAATATGATTAATTAAAACTCCAATAACATAAATATTCCTTTTTTAATTCAAACAGCTTTGAATTCAAATGAAAAAAAATGGTTTTAATATTCTAAGAAATTCAATTTATTCTAGTGCAGTGACATCCATAACAGACTTTTTTTCATTTGAGCTTTCAGTTCAAATGAGTTACAAAAGTGCCTCGGCACAAATTATCGAGCTTTTGATGCTCCCGCTCTATTCAGGAAATCTAATTCGTTGCACAGAACTTAGTACCAATGAATAAAAGTTCTCATTAGCTAAAATATTTTTTTTTTTTTGCGAAAAGTTGTTGTTTATTAATGACGTAGGAAAAAAACATTTAAAGAACAATTTTTTTAAAAAAAAAAGCAGATGTGCTCTAGGAAGTTTAATAAGTTAGTTTTCTTTATTATTGTACTCAGAAAACTTGATTTGCAGAACCGGATGTGTACTAATTTTAGGAGGTTTGTGTAATACTGTAAAACATGGGTTTAATAAACGAATGCGTCAACGTTAGTTGATTCACAAGACTACACTGGTTAGCATTTCAGCCATTTTAGCAATCTTTATAACTGATTCATAACGTGAAATCGCTTATAAAGAAAAAAAGCTACACCGGCATTCAAAATAAGCAACATCAGCAGCCAGCACCGAGACAAAGAACCAATCCTGTGTCTTGACATCCATAAACGCCTTTAGGCACAGTTCAAAAACTGTTTCTTTATTTCATTTCTGAAGTTTCTACTATACTGAAGTTTCTACTATTCTACTATTCTGAAGTTTCTACAACATTATAAATAGTAGAAATAGTTTCTACTATTTTTACTATTTATAATGTATGATACAACATTCCTGCAACAGCTTATTTTAAGCCGGAGGAACCACGAAGGTTGAGGCTCCACAATTTCGTTACCAGCAACATGATGGTAGCAATGTGGACAGGATTGAACACTTTGCCACCTATATTTCCCAGATGAGCTGGTACAAATCAATTTATGCCAATCAATCAAGTCTTCAATCTGTGCCAATCAATCGAGTATTCCATCTGCCACTTAGAATGTAACCACACACAGAGAAAATAATTCTTGTAAAATCATTGTACATGGGTACATCGTACGGTAATAACATTTCCTTTAAAAATAATTAGAATTCTAGTTAATAAAACCAAAATATAAGGAATTATGCAATTCATTTGGTAGTTTTTTCATTCAACTGTTTACTGGAAATTCTGGTTATCAAAATTAAAGTTTCTTTTTACCACACATTTAGTAACAAATACAAAACTGAAATCTAACCGAATAAATTTTTTTGATGTCATGCTCTAGGATATCATGATAAAATTACCAAATTTTTCACATATTGTAAAAACACATTTTATGACTAATTTCTAATTTTGTTATTTTAGTAAAAATTACAGAGTTTTTTGGTGTCCACATAAAGCTCAATGCTGTTAACTATCGCGTCATCGCTAAAGTTTGACTACTGCGCCAGTTAGAAACTACCCATATATTACCGATTATTTATGCTTTTTACATAATTTTCATAAAAAGCAATTTTAACACTTTTTGTCCTTTAACATTTAAAGTTTCGTGCTATAAATCTAAATTAGAATTGTTGGATTAAATGTAGTAACACAAAAGCAGCTATCAATATCAATGAAGATCTTCATATAGATATTTCGATAAGTCCTCTTTTGTCCGTCTGATTATTTGCTAAATAGAGCATAAAGCTTGACTTATGATATGCTTCAGTTATTCATCGATATATGAGTTAGCCAAAGCGCAATGAATAGATAAGTTCCAAGCATAATTGCGTATATCCATAGACGATGAGTATTACAGAGCGTAAGATATTCTCTCGATTTAGCAAGGAAGTCAATGTTAGACATCCGGGCGAGAAATGAATATCTTTTCCTAAGAGGTTAGGAATATATCGATTTTCTTTGTCCATTCTTTAAGTAATAGATATCTAAATGAATGATGCTTTTAGAGTCAACTCATTTATGATTCGGTTTAAATTAAGTCTTAAATACATCTATATTAGTTTAAGGAAGGCGCATTATTTGCTTATGTTAAAACTATATAATGTACTATATCTGATAAATATTCAAGTGAATATTTTTTAAGAAATGTCAAACATTTATCTAACTTTTATTTGCAAATATTCGAATTTAATTATTGTCCGTCTTTCATTGTTATTATACTTTCATGCCATATTTTCATTAAATTAGATACCGCGCGTCCCGAAAAAATGACTGCTGATTTAAAAATTTAATCAGTAGTTGATAAAAACGCATGGTTTTTCGAGTTCTGCTATGGAACAAAGTAATTTATTCTCATGGATACTCCAAGTTAGTCATGAAATCCGTTCACAGATGGCTCTGCTAACTGAAGGAAAGACATAAAACAATGTTTTAAAAATAAACAAAATTTGAAGCAACTATTGGCACACTCTGAAGTTAAAATTATTAGGCAGCCATCCGTACAATTATTTCGGTTGAAATAATATAATAAATGAGAAAAAACATTGTTTATGCAACAGCAGTGCGATCTGTTAACGAGTTTTGTAACTAGTTCCGAAACTTTGATGCAAATAAATTTCCCGACTGCTGTTTTTATGTAATTAATTTTTCCATCATGTTACATTTTTAGGAGTCTCGGGATAATTTTTTACAGTGTTTTATTAAAAAAAAATTCATAAATGAGTATATAAAATCCCTTCTTCTTCAAACCCCATTATAGAACTCTGTAATTCTCCTTTTTAGTACAAGCCAAGACAGCCTCATTAGTTGTTAAGAAATGTAAAAATTTTTAAAAAAATGTAGCTTTAATTTAGTGAGAAGTTCCTATTAACAGCTTGCCAATAAACTATAAATTTAAAAAATGTTTGTTTTAAATCCACCTATATTTGATCTGTAAGCTTTTTTTTACTTATTTTATTTTAAGTTGATATTAAACTATCTATAATTCCGTAATAAACTATTTCTTTTCTTACAGACGGAGAGTTCTTGCTTATTGTTGAGTATGCAGAAATGGGATGCTTAAAAAATTACCTAAGGAAACACCGTCGCTATAACAGCTGTTGCAGATCTAACGACATGGGCCATACTAAACCAGAAAATGTAGAATTGCTAGGAAATTATTATCGATATCCTTGTGAGAGATCCAGGCACGAACCTCGGCACAGCTATTTTCACAAAGAGCAACTCTCGTTTGCCTGGCAGATTGCCAAAGGAATGGCATATTTATCAGATTTAAAAGTATGATAATTATCTATATGAAGCCTTTTCTGCGTAAAAACTCATATCTTTTAAAAAAGCAATCAATTAAAAATATATCTTCCCTAAGAAATTTAATCTTTTATGTGATACTGAGTTTATAATATTGATTTTATTATAAACTCAATATTCTCATATATGAACTATACTCATAGATACTCAACTTATACATATTCAACTATATTCATTCATTTGGCAGATTGCTAAAGGAATGGCATATTTATTAAATTTAAGAAGGATGATAATTGAAATCCACATATAAACCCTAATTCAACCCTAAATTTACATATAAACCCTATTCAACCCGAAATTTGCATATAAACACTATCCAGACTGAAATTTACATTAAAACTTAACCTGAAGATTGAGTTGAAACTTAATTTTTAATCTGTTAATTAGAACTAAGGTTTTTCCTCTTAATTTATTTATAAGATAAAAAATATTTTTATCTTCGATATGTATATAAAAATGAAGGTCTGGTGATGTGTGTGTTCTTTATAGACTTCTAAACCATCCTACCGAAAACTATGAAACTTGGCATACGGATAGTTCAAAGCACGAGGAAGGTCACTGCCAACATTAGAACATTCTGCGACGAACCGTTTGAGACAGATGAGAGAAAAACGAAATGGAATTTTCTGATTGGCTAAGCGTTTCGCATTGTTTTAAATTTAACGATTCTTTTGTCGCATATTTTAAAGATAACATCAGGGATAATTGCAAGCTTGTAGCTCTATTTGATCAAAAAATAGTTTATAGCACGTAGTATTTAATTATTTTATATTCGCTATGTCAGATAAATTCAATGAACATTACCTGGTAGCACACATGGTCTACGTCACCAAATTTATGCTTTGTCTGGCACCACACGTTTATTTATGTTAATTCTTTTAAACGTGTTTCTAAATAATTACTTATTTAAAACCAAAGGTAATGGTATAGAAAAAATATATTTATGTATTCAAAAGCAAAAAGTGGTACTAAATTGCTTAGGAGAAACACAAAAAATCGACGCCAATGAGGCCTAATTACGCCAATGGGGCCTAATTACGCCAATGATGCTTAATTAAGATAATCTATGCAAATTGAAATAAAAGAAATTAGCCATGTACTAGAAAGCAAAAGAGAAATGGAGCAAAGGTATTTATTTGAATAGAAGAACAGTAAGAAATCCTCATACTATCAATGACGACAATGCTTAATTAATGCTGGTAATATGCATTAGTTGAAAAAAAAATAATTTTTGAACTAAAAAGCAAAAATAAGGAGAAAAGATACTTATTCGCATTTTGGGTAACCGTGAAAAATCTGCATATTATCATTGACACTAATGCTTAATTAATATTGATAAAGTGTATTAATTGAAATAAAATAAGCTATTTGCTAAAAAGCCAAGCTCATGAAGGAAAGATTAAGGGGAAATTCGTTAAACAAAACCGTAAAAAATCACCATTCACAGATGACGCTTAATTCATATGTATCACTGACGGTACTATGTACTACTAGTACTATGGTAATTGGCGAATTGGTTATGATAAGAATTCTACAACTGGTTTTTCCTAGTTTCAGAAAATATTTTTCCATTGGTATCTAAGATAGTGTATTAATAATATCTTAATGAATTTTTTTCCATCACTATCTATAGATATTTTAACAGTAAATTAAAGGTCAGATAGAGAAATGGTTCAAAATCCTAATGAAGTTCTAATATCTTAAATTTTTTTTAAAAAGAAATTGGACTTCAGTTTGCTGCCACTGACATATGTATAAACTCAAATATTGAGGGATTATGTAATAAGTACCAAATATATTAATAGAGATATAAAATATTCTATTGATATATTTGATGATTATTAAAACTGCAGCAATATTAAGCAGTTTTAATACCGATTCTTTCGATTTAAGCATTTTACGGCCCTCGAAAGGAATATGTACCTGCAAAAAATCACTTAATAGTGGCAAATTTCAACTATCACGAATCAGCCGTGAGCAATAGCATCACGCCAAGTATGCTAAATACATTTTATCTTTATTCCAATGGTATGAATTGCAAACGATCTTCACTTTTTTCAATAACCTAAAGCCACCAAAGATTACAACATATAATATAAAATAAAAAGGCTATATTAATTAAAAACTTAGTGGAAGAGTCAGGTAAGTGACATTTTTAGAACGAAGAAAGAAGTTGTATCCGAATTATTTTATTACCAATTTATTAGAAGGTGGGACAAATAATTCTTAACTTTATTTTATTTACCACTGCCTAATTAAAATAAAAGTTGTGCAGGCATTCTATAAACTAATATGGATTAGTTATGTTAAGATAAAAGTGAGAGCAAAAACAGTTCTGTTACATTAAACATACCCATATTGACGCAACCACTTTATATTATTTTATCTAATTCATTCATGCCCCTGAAAATGTCATTCATCTGGTTCTTCCATCAAGCTCTTTAATCGTGTCGGTATATGCCTTTCGGTTTTGAGTATGATTACTTTGTGTTTCTCGTTACTGTTTTATTGATTTTTTTTTTAACTCACCTTGTGCGAAGAACGGCTATTCATGTAGACTTTTATGAAAATAGATCATATCATACAAAACCCATTTAGTACCCAAATATTGTAAAATTGTGATGAGAATACTAAAATGAAAATGAATGCGAGAATAATGAAATGTTACATATGTTTCTCTTTTAGCTTGTTCATAGAGATTTGGCAACTCGAAATATTTTGCTGGCAAAACAAAAAGTTGTCAAAATTTCGGACTTTGGTCTATCAAGAGACGTGTACGAAGGGGAAACTTATTTAAAAAGAAGCAAGGTAATTGCAAATAATACTTTTAATAATTCAAAATTAATTGTATTTTGAAATGTATTTAATGGTCATTCTTAGACAATTAAATTTATATTTAAAAAATAATAGAACCAAAAATGTTTTATTTTTATCTAAAAACTGTAAAAAAGTAATATTGTTTTGAAATCTTTCTTTGTAAATTTCCTCAAAATTTCTATATGAGCAATTTTTAAACTATTTATATTATGCTTTTCAAAGCTAAGTTCAAAGGAATTTTTTTTACTTCAAAGTTGCTATTATTCGTATCTTCAATTAATGTATAAATACTTGATTTAAAATCCACCCAAAAAAACGTGCGTCCAGTTTTTCTAGCAGCAAATTTTGTGTACATTGTTAATCATATTTTTCAGCTTATGACAGTAACGAGTTAAATGAATAGTTTCTTACAATGCATGAAGCATTGTTTGTTGTTTTACTATAGTCGTTTTTTGTCACAAAAACTAAAAACTTTTTGCTTGGAACCGATGTATGTAGTTTTATTATATTCGAAGGTACGTTGAAATATCACTGATATGCAGCATAAATTAGGTCATAACTACACTCTCTACCAATAAGTATTTGGACACGTGTGATTAAAAAGAAAAGCAAACTTTATTCATAATCAATAGTGGGCAAAGCCTCCACGAGAGGCAATTACAGCGTGAACCCTCCGGGGCATACTTTCCACAAGTCCTAGTGTGACGGATAGTGGTATTTTCTTCCACTCGGCTTTGAGACGACCTGTAAATTCCTTCCCTGATTTTGGAAGGGTAGTACACCCCTTAATTCGCCGATCCAACTCGTCCTAAGGGTTCTCGATAGGGTTCAGGTCTGGGCTCGGGCAGGCCAGTCCCTTCGATTAACCCCATTGGCACCATACCAAGCCTTGGTGACCCTCACAACATGACAGCTGGTATTGTCGCTCTGGAAGTAACAGGGGTTCACCCCGTAAAACTGCTACAACGTAAAAAGCACATTGTCATCCAAAATAGTGCAGTAGGTATCTTCCATGGCACTAATGCCGATGTTGTTCCCTACACGATATATATCAGCAGAGGACGTGACGTATCTCAGGACCGCAGATATAGTCATTTGCATAGGTGTCCAAATACTTATTGGTAGATAGTGTATAAGGATGTCTAAAATTCGTTAACTCAATTATAAATTAATAAATAATTTATTTTTAAAAATATATAATTTTGTTACAGGGGAAAGTTCCAATAAAGTGGATGGCTATTGAATCCCTTGAAGATCAACTTTATACCTCTCGAAGTGATGTGTAAGTATTTGATTCTTAAATATTTCCTTTTATGAAATTTCATTGATTATTTCAGATTCAATAGCAACAAAGCATAAAAATATTTATTTGTTTTCAGCACTATCAAGGATATGTTTCTCTTTATGTCTTTTCAAAACCATTTACTGTTCACTACACACAATTTAAATCACAAAAAAATAGAAGAAACAAACATATGATTTAGATAGAGTACTAGTATCTATAGAGTATCTGTCCGATTATAACGCGTGCAGCCGGCAGAGCCTTGAAAATAAAAACAAACTAACAGCTAAAATTCGAACATGAACAAATAAACAATTTAAATTTAAAAATTTTGAACATTGCTTTCCATCAAAGTGTTTTTAATATTGTATCCAGATAGGTGCTTTGAAAGCTTATGAAAAATACCTGAATGATACAAAGTAACTAGAATTTATGACCATTTGGGAAATTTTAACTTTTTCACCAGAAGTGGTATTGAAAATTTTGAAAATGATGCTTATAATTGTACTTCTCCAAGCTCTTCATACATATGCGTATATTAGGGGGTTCTTTAAACAAGAATACAAGAACACCTAGTCGAAGAGGCCTTGATGTCAATGTTGCCGTTCAAGTGCATAAATTAATTAATTATTGAAAAACCATGAAAAAACACTATAAGTTTTTTTCACCATTTACAATTAGCATGCTTTCAAAACCGTGAAAAATAAATTTAGCAGGACGTTGGTGCTAAGCTCTTCGTTAGGTAATTGGTATTGGAGTTATGGTGGTGTCATTTATGTGTAAATGAGATAATCGTATTCTAACAGTCCAGGGTCACAAATTCTTAAATACAGGAGACTGGAAACCCTTCCTGTATTGAAGGGATTGGAGAATATATTTCGGAACCGATGTTGGGACTCGTAACTCCGTCTGTCTGTCTGTCATGAGATAGACCGATTAGTTTTCTCGGCTTTTACAGGTGCACAGCTGCTTGATTAACAATTATAACAAATTAACCTAATTAATTTGCAGATAATTTAGGTGATGTACATATTAACGGCTTTTGAGCTTTAACAGTAACATAAACTCAAATAAATTATGCAAATTGGTGCTAGGCTTTTCGTTAGGCAATCGATATTGGAGTTATAGTGGTGCCATTTATAAATGCCATTAGCAAATAAATTATAAACCAGCATATTTATTTTCAAAAAATGTCTTCATTTAATTTAGACTTCATTCAACTTAGACTTGAAAAAAACTATAATGTTCTAAAAAATGCATTTATCACTCTTGAGGAACTTCCATTCCTTATAAGCTTTTCTAAAAACGGAATGTTCAATGCGTCTGTAGATTAATATATGTTGTCTGTTAATACAGTAGTAGATAAATATATGCTGTCATTTAATACAGTAGCAGATAACGAAAAAGTTTTTATTTTATTTTTTAAACTTTAAACTTAAAAAGGAACACTCATCTTGAAATTCTCCTTAAGGTATACATTACCTAGAAGGCATATCAAGAAGTCATTTGTAAAAGGTGCCATCGCAAAATTAATATTCATGAAGAAGTTGGTGTTAAATTCTTCTTTATTACTAAATCAATATTCCCGTAGGATGAGAACACTGGAAAAGGCTTTTAAGGTAAGTGGTGGAGAACAAAGCGATGACGATATGTGGAATAAATCTTAAAATAATATTTAATAAAAAAATTTTTTTAAAGTTTTGAAACATTTCCTTTCAATATTAATATTTCTTCCTGCTTTCTCGTCATTTGATCATTTACAGTATATTTCGAACTCTTTTTGAACATGAAACACATTTCATTTCAATTGAGGAAAGAGTTTTTAGTGATTAGTTTAACAAAGTTTTACAATTATTTTCAAGTTTTCAAAAGTATGTTGAAGTCTGCATATTCAAAATGAAACTTGGTATGCAGAACATGTTAACAAAAGGTATGTTAACCAAAGCTCTCGTGATTTTCCATAAAAAAATCCAAAAATGTATAGGTGCTTTTTCAATTTTTTTTAGAAACTTTGGTTATTGTTTTTTTTCATTAAAGGTTTTTCATAAAACACACTTTTCCTGTTTACGCAATCTCCCTATGGAATATATGTATATATTTCTCAATCCCAATGGAATATAATACTTGATTTAAAATNTACTGTACAAAGGATCTTCTGGCATAATGCTGTTGCTAGCGACAACTCATGATATTTAAAATGTAATTATTCGGGTCAGTCCGTTGTCTTTTTCTTGCGTTCTGTAAATGCAAAAATCTCATTTAATTACTGAAATTATTTACATGGAATACAATGAGAACTTCGAACATTTAGAAATCTCTGTCAGATTATTTCCCAAAAAATATTGTTTATGTTTGATAATTTTTTCACATTTTTCGGCAAATCGGGATTATTTCAATTGCATTGTCTTAAAGCTTTGCTCATATAGCAATGCCATCTCTTCACAAACTGTAACTAACTATAGGTTTTAGTTAGAAAATTGTTTATGCTTGCGTTAGGTAGCAAACAGCATGCTTTTATATTTTCCCCTTTCTTTTAGTGAGTTTTTCATATTGTCCGCCAATTTTGGGACCCTCGATTCTAAGTGTATAATAACAGTACATCAACGGAAAAACGGATATTCTCTAATAAATAAGAAAAACTTTAAATCTAAATTTAACTGCTTTTGTTTATTATCAAATTAAAACTAAATCTCATAGTTTTGATGGATGAAGAAATCTCATTAGTATCTACTTGCAAAAAAAAAGATCACAATTTATGCTAAAGAATGATTTCGAAAATTATATTGAAATATTCGTGATAATTTCATTAAGTTCAAGAAAAAAAATCAAAATTTAATCTGAAATTATAATTTAAGATCTTAAACCTTAATTTCATTCTATTATAACTTTATCATTAAGTTTATTACTTCATAACTTCATTTTTATTCTTTGTACGCTGTTAAAAATAAGGTTCAACGTTTCACCAATTAATGGGTGCCAATTTAGCTGCAACTAATGTAATAAGAAATTTGGTGCGAAGTTCTACCAGTGTAATCCTGTCAGAGGTATTACTTTTGTAGAACTAAATTCAAGGTTTTTCTTTACATCCATTTTACAGTGAGACATCGAACCAAACTTGAGGTTATACTGTTAACGAAATTTTAAGTGAAAGATGGAATCAAAATTTATGCTTTTGTTTGGATCAATTTTACGGTGAAAGATTGAATTTTCTTTAAAATTATAATGTAAATTAGATTTAAAAAACTATTGGTCTAAAAGTAACCCAATTATTTAGTTTAACGCTTAACTGCAATATTGTCTTTGGGAGCACCACAACAGTGGTATAATTTTGCAAATTAATTTTTATTTCGACTGAATTTAGTTTAACGTTAATCCATGTTTTCAAATATATATATCCCATTTTCTTTTTCACATAATTCTGTAACTTAACGTTGGGAAACATTTTTAAGTGTTAAATTTTATGAATTTATCGATCAACTGTGGAAATCATGATTTCATGAATTCATAATAAATTAATAAAAACATTTTTCATTAAATTAACTAAACAACATTATGTATAATAAGTTGTTTTCAATCTTTATAAACTTTGTCTGCCAGACAGATTAAAAATTTTTTATGCTTAAATGCTGAAAAGAGGAAGGATTTATGTAATTACAATTTTGTAATCATTGTTCTGTTAACTTAATTGAAATAATTTTGTTACTTTTGAAGATTCAAATAAAGTTTTCGAAATGAATTTCTTATTTCAAGAAGATAAATATTTTGGAGTTTTTTAAATAATCCTGATTATCACCCTTCCCCTTACTTCCTTATAAAATTCTATTTTAGTTACTTTTTATTAAATAATTAAATTTTTTTCTCCCATATAAAACTAAAACTAATTAATTAAATTCAAATTGAGCTATTAGTTAGAAATTATCACTGATGTTATCTTTAAAATACGTAAAAAACTGAATCGCTTATAGTAAAATTTAAAACAATGACTAACGCTTAACCAATCAGAAAATTCCATTTCTCTTTTGGCTCATCCCTATTTAATTAATGAATTAAATTTGAAAGCAATGTGTTAACATCTAGTGTCGTGTCATCCATCACAAGTTTAAAAATATATATTTGAACTTGAGTGGATGAAATAAAAGTATTTTATTAATGATTAAAAATTAGAACAAAATACATAAATATATAATATATAGGGAGAGAGAGAACTAATAGTAGGAATTGGAAGGAAAAAAAAGGCGCGTGGTATCAGGCAACTATCGAAATATAAATTTCATGACGTGGATCACACGTGCCACCCCGTAATGTTCTTTATTACATTTATATGACGCCGTGAATGTAAAATTATTAAATATTTAAATGCACGCAATAGTCGAAATATAGAAAACTATAGGTGAGAAATTAAACGAGACGAATCACAGTAGCCGAGAGAGAAAAAGAGGAAAAGCAGAGCATGAAATACCACAGAGGCCGAGAGAGGCAAATCAGGATAAAATGCATTCCTCCGCGTTATGGAGAGATAGTGAGGAAAAAATGTCGTTAGCAAGGGAATCAGCATTGAAAAAGATTCAATCTTTTTTTCTTAAGACACGTCCATTATCAAGAATTAGAAAATCTTCAATTGCTGCACATTGTTAAAATATTGGGCTTAAGTTCAATTTCGATAATGTTAAAATTATTTCCACCACAGTCACATCAGCCCATCTTAATGCCCTTAAACTTGTTTTATAAGTATGAATGCTGATTCCGGTGTTAACAACATTAGTTCCTCACCACCTCACCACAGCGCTTGGAAATGCATTTTATCTTGATTTGCTCCTCTCAGCCACTATGTTTTTTCTTTCTCTTTTCATTTTCTTCTCTCTCGGCTGCTCTCTCCTGACTACTAGTTTTATTTCTTACCTTTAGTTTTCTATTTTTCTTTGTGAACTTTGCGTTTTCAAATCACTTTTGTTTTGTTTTTTTCATTCACGTCTAGCAAATCTGGAAAATGGGCTTCTGTT